ACGTAACAACAACAACAAGGTGGGGTCTTAGTTCTATAGAGTCAGCATAGCAGACAACACATGCAGACGACTTTAACAGACAGACATTTATTTCCTTACAGCTTAGGAGGCTAGAAGTTCAAGTTCAGAGTGCTCATCTGAGGGGAACAAGCACTTCCTTCTCGGCTCTGAGGGAAAGGCCTGTTCTCTTTGGCTTCTGTTCCCTGTTCTCTTTGGCTTCTGTTCCTTCCGCAGGGAGATCTTCCCTGTGTGTTGGCATTGATTTTATTCAGATCTGCTTCCTTTGCTTGCTTGTTTAATCGCTTTTACATCTCAAAAGAGATTGATTTAACGTATTGCCTCTGCTAATCTCAACTCATTAACGTAACAAATACAATCCACTTCCAAATGTCATGAGAAAATCAGGCAGAGAGGCCAGGAATTGCAGCACAAATATTTGGGAGATGAAATAAAATGAATAATTTGAATGTTGGTAGAAAATTCGAGTTGAGAAATTGAAATTTTTGTACAAAAACTGATAAGATTACTCTCAATCGTATTCGACTTGACACTTAATCATTGCTAAATTAAACTAAGTGCTGATATATCTGGAGGAACACTCTTCCACTTTGCACATCACTTTGTCAATGTGCTGTATGATATAACCTGGGTTTGCTGTGATGCTGAACCTTGTACCAGTGGGGTATCAAATGCCAGAATGGCTTCCCAAGGTGGACAGTGTTTGGTGGAGCTCCCAGCTGTACAATACGTTTGGAAGCAGGAGTGGCATCCACTTCCTAAACCACATGCCTCTGGAAACTGTGAACTTGGAGAAAGGACGACAATGTGGAAAGGCGTTAGGTCTTTTGTTCATAGAGTCGCTCTGAGTCGTGCTCAACTCTACGGCAATCGACAACAACAACAACAACAACAAACTGATAACAGGTGGAGAGTTTAAATTTCCCTCTGTGTTCCTTGGAGACCTGCATAAGGGTTTGAAGAAGACTCACCGAAAGCCTGAAGCACTTGCTGCGGAAGGTCAAAGACTGCCGCTTCCAATATGGGTTGAGGCTCAACATCAAGAAAACAAAGATTCTCACCACTGGACCAATTGGCAGCATCGTGATAGATGATGAAGAGATTGAGATTGTTGACAGCTTCAGTTTGCTTGACTCTACAATCAACATTCTTGGTACCAGCAGACAGGAAATTAAAAGACGTATTGAGATGGGAAAATTTGCTGTTAAAGATCTCTCAAAAGTATTGAAGAGCAACGCTGTCAGTCTGGAGACTAAGGTGCGTCTGATACAGGCCATGGTCTTTGCAATTAATTACTTGCTGTGCATCAGAGAGCTGGACAATGACTAGGGATGACAGGAGAAGAGTTGATGCCTTTGAGCTTTGGTGCTGGAGAAGAGTGTTGAATATACAATGGACTGCTAGGAGAAAAAACAAGTTCATTCTAGAGAGAGTGAAGCCAGGCTGCTCCTTGGAGGCAAGGATTCTGAAGCTTTGTCTGACATACTTTGGACATGTAAGGAGAGACCAGTTCTTGGAGAGGGACGTCATGCTTGGGAGGGTGGAGGGACAGTGCAGGAGAGGAAGACCCTTGATGAGATGGATTGATTCAGTCATGGGGATAATGGGGATTGGAAAGGGACAGAGCAGGGCTTAGGGCTCTTGTACGTAGGGTTGGTATGGGTTGCAGGCGACTCGACGGCACATGACAACATCGCCATCAAGAACCTGCATTATGCAAATGACACAGTCTTCCTTATTGAAAGAAGACTTAAAATACTTGCTGCAGAAGATCAAAACCTACAGCCTTCCATATGGATTACATCTCAGTATCAAGAAAACAAAAATCCTCACCAGACCATAGGAAACAGAATAGATGGAGAAAATATTGAAGTTGTCACTGATTTCATTTTACTTGGATCCACAATCAATGGTACCAGCAGTCAAGAAATCGAAAGACATATCACAAAAAAGACAAAAAAAAAGACACGTAGCAATGGGAAAATCTGCTGTGGAGGACCTCTCCGAAGTATCAAAGAGCGAGGATGTCAGTTTACAGACTAAGGTGCACCTGATCCAAGCCATGGTTTATTTAGTTATTTGCTGTGCATTTGAAAGTTGGACAGTGACTAAGGATGATGAAACTTGATCTCACATACTTTGGGCATGTTGTTAGGAGGCGAGGGGGGCGCATTCTTTGGAAAAAGACATCAAGCTGGGAAAGGAGGTCAGAGAAAGAGAGGAAAATCTTCAACAAGATGGCTTGACTCAGTGACTATAAATAACTTGTGGGCCCCTGCATGTCAGAGGTTGTAGCATGAGAGACTGAGCTTCAGATCTGTTGTTTATAGTTTTGCTGTGAGTTGTAGTTGACTCAATGACACCTGACAACAACTTGAGGGCATCTAACAACCTCTCCTCCCTCCCATGCCCATTGACCTTTCAGTGTATGGGTCACACAAAGCTACTTCCCATGTAGAAGCTTTGCATGTATTGTTCCTGTTTTCAAAGACTGCCATCAGGGACCTCTCTAAATGATTGAGGAACAATGATGTCAGTTTGAAGACCTGATTCAGGCCGTGATCTTTTCAGTCCCTTGCTATGCATCTGGGAGCTGGGCAAGGAATAAGGATGGCAGAAGAATTGATGCCTCTGGAGTGTGGTGTTGGAGAAGAGCACTGGACATCTCATGAACTCTGAAAAGAACAAACAGATATGTCTTGGAGAAAGTGCAGCCAGAGTGCTCCTTGGAGGCAGAGATGATAAAGTTTCGTCTCACAGACTTTGGGCATGTTGCTAGGAGAGGCTATTCCTTGGAACGGGATGTCATGTTTGGAAGGATGGAGGGACTGTGAAGGAGAAGAAGACTGTCAACTAAGTGCCTTGACACAGAGACTGTCACAATGGGCTCACGTGTGTCAGAGCTTGTGAGGATGGCCCAGGATAGGACAGGGCTCAGATTTGTTGCCCAAGGAGTCGCTGTAGGACATACTCGACTCAACGGCACCCAACAAGAACAACAAATGCCCAGACAGCTGGTCTTGCCGTGCTTCAGGCATCTGCAAAAGCTGCTTATTCTTCAAGGCTTGTATCTCCAAAGAAAGCTTTCCTGGTCATGCAGAGTAAAAGTTCCCCTGCACTTCACGCCCCAGAAATTTACCTCTTCCTTGTAAGAATAGTTCTATTTCTTGGCTTCCATGCCTAGATTCTGTGGTTGGATAGATTCCCCACTGTTTAACAAACATCCAACAAGGTTGCTAGTATCTGTGGGACTGCAATAAATACTTATTGGATGACTAAATGAATCAGAAATGTAGGCGCTCACTAACAGATTTTTACAATTTTTTGAACTTCTAGAAACGAATGGTCTTGGACAAGGATACACCCACATTGTGGTTGGAGTCTTGGCTGGCGTTGTGTTTATTCTCTTCTTCTTCCTCCTCCTCGTTCTTCTTTGCTGTCGGTACCAGGTGAAACACGGTATGTCCTGGGGGTGGAAGGGTTAACCCGGGAGGTGGGCTTGGTGGGTTCTTTGGGGTGGGGTGGGGCTCTGACCACAGATTCTCTGCAGGCACCATTGATGTTGAGGTCAAGACCCAAGTGAGATATCACAGGTAGGAACCAAGTGACTCCTGCAATAAGAACTCCTGTTTCTGCCTGGTATCTACAAGCTACTCCAGTGTTTCTGTCTCTTTCCCACCAGCTCCAGCCCGTCCGTGGATGACCAGGAAGAAAATCAATGTAAGAGTCAGGAGAAGAAGCACCTACGGTGGGAAATTGGGGTGTGAGGGGGCCCAGAAAAGATTCTAGAAGGAGCCACTTTTCTGTGTGTTGTACCTGCTCTTTCCTGGCCTTGAGCCATCCCACCTTTGAAATATGGCGGGGAGTATTTCATGCCTCTGAAGACTTTCACAGGAAGTCCAAACCCTCACCTCATCTCTCCTTTCAGATGCTGCCTTGAAGGACAGCCAATCAGGAGCGGATGGACACACAGACACACAAGTGAGAGTTTCTTCACTGAGTTCCTTTCCTTTCTCAGCCCTTCGCCCCGACCCCCTCAGTCCTATCTCATTTTGTATTTCCACACTGACAGGTCCCCACAGCAGAGGAGCCCAAAGAAGTGATTTATGCGCAGTTGCAACGAGAAGGTTTTAGGGAGGATGTGGACGTGCCAGCTTCCTGTACGACTAAAGAGCCCTGTGTGTACGCCACCCTCACCTTGCCCGGAGCCCAGAGCTGAGACTGGCTGCGCGGATGCCAGGGTCACTTGCGCTGTAAGGAGAGTGTGATATTCTGCGCACATTCCCTCAGCACTGGCCACGCACTTGGAGCTCCTCCAGGGCTGAAGCACATGTATTTGCTCCTTTGTGAACGGCTTCTTTTACTCAGCATAACGTCCTCCAGCTTCATCCATGTTATGTGGATTCTTCCTTATTCTTTGGTGTTATACGTGGTGTGTATGTATGTGCCGTGGTTTGCTTATCTTTCGGTCCACGGATGAGTTTTTATAGGTTCTTTTCACACCTTTACCCTCATAAATAATGATGCAGTGATCATGGGTGTGTATAGAACTTGTTTCTTTGGGAAATTATCTATCTATCTATCTATCTATCTATCTATCTATCTATCTATCTATCTATCTATCTTATCTATTATCTATCTATCTATCTAATCTATCATCTATCTATTATCTATCTATCATCTATTCATCTTTCTATTGCCTATCTATTTATATCTATCTATCTATCTATCTATCTATCTATCTATCTATCTATCTCTGTCTATCATCTATCTTTCTATTATCTACCTTTTATCTATCTATCTATCTACTATCTATCATATATCTATTTATCTTTCTATCTATCTATACCTATCTATCTAATCATCTATCTATATCTATCTATCTATTATCTATCTATCTATTATCTATCTTTCTATTATCTATCTATCATCTATCTGTGCATTATCTATGTATCTGTGTATCTATCTATCTATCTATCTATCTACCTTTATATGTATGTATGATCTCTTTCTCTCTCATATCTATAATTTATCATCTATCTTTATCTATCTAGAAGTGGGAGTGCTGAATCAATTGGTATTTCTATTTCCGGCTTTTTAAAGAGACATCCTACTGTTTTCCACAATGGTCGCACCACTTACAGTCCCACCAGTACAGTGAGAACTCACGTGACTCCACATCCACTCTAGCTTTTTTTTTAAAATAATTTTCTGCCTTATTGAACGAAACGCTAGCATTATCAGGGTGAGCTGATATCTTATTTTTGTTTTTATTTGCAGATCAAAGAAGAATTGACACCTTTGAGTTGCGATGTTGGTGAAGAGTGTTAACTATTCCCTTGATGGACAAAGTAACAAAGCAATGAATCCTGACGGAAGTGCAGCCAGAGAGTTCCTAGGAAGCACAGATGGTTATTCTGAGTGAAATATCTCAGTCATAAAAGGACAAATACTGCATGGGGGTCACTGTTATAAAAGAGGACCAACATAGGGGCTTGGGGGGAGACTGAGAAAGAAGGGATAAATTATGCGTACTGCGTTGAAACTGATGAGGGAGAGAACTGTTTAAAAGGGACATATGATTAGGTATTATTGTCATGACAGGAGTCCAGAATGAAGGCTGCATAGTGGCGTGGACTTGGGGGCAGGGATTGTAAAACAATGAAAGAATTTTTCTTTTTCTTTTCAAAGAGAAGAGCGAACTGGGGTGGGGGGGATGGGCAGGGAGAATAGTGCAACAATGTGTGAATGTAAATCTCTAAGTCTCTGTAAACTTTTATTAAAATTAATTCTAAAAAAAGAAGCAGCAGCAGCACGAACAGTGAGATTTTGTCTCACATCCTTTGAACGTGTTGCCAGGAGGGACTGATCCTTGGAAAAGGACATCATGCTTGGGAAGAGAGAGAGAGAGACCTTGGACAGAAAGGACTTACACAGTGACTGTGGTAATGGACACATTGGAGATTGTGAAGATGGCCCAGGACTGGACGAGCTTTGATTTATTGTACAGAGAGTCATTAGGAGCTGTAGTTTCCTACAGAAACAACCATAACGAGAACCAGCAAAGGACCAAAAGCGAATCTTATGTGCTTACTGGCTACCTGAACACCTGCTGGGGTGACAAGTCTATGCATGGTCTCTGCTCACTTTTTGGTTAAATTGTCTGTCTTTTTGTTGTTTAGCTGTTGACATTTTCTGTTCATTTGAGAGATTAATCTCTTGTTAGAGACTAATCTTCCCCCTCAGTCTACAAGTTCTCTTTCCACTCTTTTAGAGAAGCCTTTAATGTGTGTGCGTGCACGCGTGTGTGTATATATATATATATATGTAATCATTTTTAGGGAGCTCTGGTGGCCTAGTGGCAAGACGCTGCACTGCAATCCCAGAGGTGCGCAGTTCGAATCCACCAGATGCTCTGCTGGAGAAGGAGGAACAATCTCCTCCTGTACCAGTCAGATCTGATTTGACGGAACAAAAATAATATAATAAAAATTTAAAAAAAATCATTTTTAGTTTATCTACTACTGCTTCTGCATTTTTGGTTATAATTGACAGTTTACTTACGGTGTAAATCAGGGCCCTCGTGTTTACCCTTATTTTTAATTTGATGAACTTTATAGTTCCAAGTTTTAGATTTAGGTCTTTGCCCCATTTTGTTAGGTTTTTTGTTTTTTTTTAAATCGGATCTTTTTTTTTTGCATTGTTCATCTTGTTAGTTTTTTTTAAAATTTATTTTATTTTTATTATTTGTGTGTGTGTACTGTCAAATCAGATCTGACTGGTACAGGAGGAGATGGTTCCTCCTTCTCCAGCAAAGCATCTGGTGGATTTGAACCGCACACCTCTGGGATTGCAGTGCAGCTTCTTACCACTAGGCCACCAGAGCGCGCCTTGTTAGTTTTTTAATGTGGGGTAAAGTACGGATCTTGTCTCATTTTCTGCCCGTCGGTACCCAGTTGTGCCAGAATCCCTTGCTGAAAGACTATGATCAGTTTATTGGCTGTGGCCCTTTGTCAAAGGTCAGCTGTCAGTCAATGAATGAACTTGAAAGACTTCTTAAAACCAAACAAAAATCTAGCTTAACTAGTAAAAAAAAGCATATGTCTTGAGCATTATGCTTTTTTAAAGAACTGTGGACTCTGTGACTGGGATTTTGATTACGTCAGGGATGCAATTTTATGAAATTACTGAATTCTTAGTATCTGTGCTTTAAAGTGGATGTGAGTTATACCACAATAAGATATTGTTTTTTAAGTTACAATACCCTTATTGTTGTTGTTGATTGCCTTCGAGTCGAGCATGACTCATAGCAACCCTATGAACAAAAAGGCCTGTAGCCCCTCTACAACTATCGACATTCATCAAAGTTCATAGAGTTTCCGGAGGCATGTTGTTTTAGGAAGTGGATGCCACTCCTGCTTCCAAACTTGTCAGAGGATGTTATTGTTGGAATTTAGTTGTCAGCAGTAAATCAAAAGATGTGATAGGAATTTTCACAGGCAGTGAGTTTACATTAAAGGAGGTTGGAGTTTGGAGAAGGGTGATGGGAGGAATCTCTCCACCTGAAAAATGTAATTGTCGTCGCATCTGTTGTTGGGGTCATCTGTGGTCTGCTATGTATCTTCTCAACATCAATAACGAGAAAGAAAGCCAGTTACTGGAAAGGAAGTGCCACCTCGCACTTGATACAAAGAGAAGACCGTCCTTATGAAAGCCACTGAGACATGAAAGCCACTGAGACGGCCATCTGGCAAGCTGCTCAGGGTATGTCAGCCCCGTGTTTTAGGGTACACCGAGAGTGGAAGTCTTCAGAGGAGCAGAAGCGAGAGAGGAAGAACTCTTAGGGAAGTCACCTTATTGCAAAACAGA